CATTTTGTTTTTAATATTTAGGGAACCAAACTTTCTGTCACTATTGACAATCACCAGACCTTTACTTGATTTTGAGGAACTTATTTCCTCAAGAACAGTTTATTGTTCATCTGTTTTTGAAGTATCATAACACTGAAGATAGCCAAGATCATCGTTTTTTTTTCTTGGGGAATTCAGAACTTTGTACATTCCTGTGTAACCTCTGACTCTTTGAAATGCAAAAGCTGGTGTCTTGCCCTCTAGAAGATTCAAAACACATTTTTGAAAACTAAGTTTGGGAGAGCCAAGGGTAGTCTGGGGATTGATTTAAGCAGTGAAAAGCAGCTTTGTCATTTACCGGTGAGATTTCCGAGCCAAAAATATACAAACTGAATCACAAAAGGAGCACACAGCAATCCAGTGACTTTCAGAAATAATAAGATTTCAATTTAAACCACTAAAGGAATCTCCACAGGCAGAGTGCAACAAGTTAATGAAGGCCAGTGACCAATTCAGGCCCTCTAGCCTGGCTTGTCTTAGATGATTTTAATCCAATTGCACAATTAACTCATTACCTTCAGATGTTCAGTGAGCCACAATATTTCGAGGTCTTTTATCTCATTATTTTATTTTATTTTTTTTTTTTTTTTTTTTTTTTTTTTGGTAAGGTTTTGCACACAAAAAAAAATTACATATTGCCATTTATGCAGAAGAAACCTTTATTTTTAAGAGCGTATCATCACTTGCGTTGATTTTGTAATGGCATTCAGGAATGTTTAAGTGTCCAAAATACGTTTTAGTCTTGTAAATGCTTTTTCCAAGAGGAAATGTTGACATATCCAGCTAATAGTAGAATTTCCTGAGGATTTTGTAGTGGAAATGTTTTCGAAAGCATAATTACCTCATGAAATTTTACACTGTTGTAAAAGGTTGAAGTTTCCGTCTGCTTTGCAGTCATTTATAGACAGAAGTTTGAGAGCCAAGACATCTCTAAAAGACTATGTTTCCTCTTTTCGACTGCCTAAAGTATTTCGCCACATAGGTGCTAAGATTTCTAAACCCTCATGCTCTCTCAACCCAAGAAGGCACTCTACAGAGGAAAGTGCAACAAGAGGGCATCAACAATGCATCTGCCATTGCCTACAAGCTCCCTGTGGGGTCTGTAACAGATAGGGTGCTAATGCAAGAATGTAGTCAGTCCCCTTCCAGCTAGCATCCGCAGAGAACGGCCCAATTTTTATGCAGCATTTCATGTATCTAGTGAAGTAGAAATTTCCAAAAAGCCTACAAGAGACTTTCCATTGTAAAAACACAAACTGACAGCAAAATTCTGAATGCGTAAGCAGGCATTCCCACAGGCTTTTCGGGTGCGAATCCATCTGCCTTTAGACGACTCGTAGTCTAGCCAGGAGACAGCAGCATCCCGAGGGGGAACATTTTGCTCTGTATTGGTGAGCATGCCATGGATGTGTTGGTGTGCCGAGCCTCCTCTTAAAATAGGGCAAGTGTGATACAATGCAGGGATCAGGAGAGGCTGCTTTGAAGAGCCCTTCTCTCAGGATTTAGTTAAAAGAAGTAGCATCAGAGGGGGACAGTGTGGACCCCTACTAATTCCCAAATTATAGAAAAATGTGGAGGGTTCTTAGAGTCCTTTAGTCTGACAGTTGAAAGGGAGGGTTTAGAGGTAAAGTGTGTATTTCAGAGTAGCTCTGAACAGAATTGTAATAGTTTAGTTTGAGAAGCCTGACTGGGCCAGACGTAATGCCATTGGCTCAACTAACACAGTGAGATTGCGGTAGGAGTTGGACCTGTTTCCTGGATCGTTGTTGTCTTTGAGATGTCGTGTGTGTGTGTGTGTGTGTGTGTGTGTGTGTGTGTTGTATTTGAGACTTTCTATTCAAGCAATTCTGATAAAAATGTCATGACACCCTCATGACATTCCAAACCACAAAAGAAGATATTTTAAAAAGGTAAGTTAATGGGGTCAACTGTTGTTTTGGACCCCATTGGCTTTTATTGTTTCACAAAAACAGTAGGAAAACATTGATCAAAATACTTTATTTTGTGTTTTTGTATGAAGGTGTTGGAACAATATGAGGTTGGGTGAATAATTGAGACTAATTTTAGTGTAAACTATCCCTTTAAGTTGATATCAGATGCTTTTACACAAGGCATTTAAAATTGATTATATTGCTTTTCAGATGATGCACGCTTTGGCAGACATCTTGGCGACGTCTTTATGCATGTATCTGGGAAAGCAGAGATCAGTCTTTATCTCTTATGGGGACTGCTATGTTATGTGGAGTAAAAAAATTATTCATTGTTCTCCAAATTCTCTTCTAATGGATTACCTCACCCCTAAAGCAATAAGCACGTCAGTCCTTGCAGTTTTTGATTGATTTGCCATCTGAGCGGTTTTTGCTGGGTTAAATTGTGCTAGCTGGCTTGTTCATGAGCCTTTGTGGATTTGTAGGCACTGGATTGCAGAACTGCCTTTCCTCCCCCTGCTTAGACAGTCTGGTCCTCTGGTCTCAGTGGTCCGCAGGGTCTGCAGTGACCAGTGGGGGTTTGGGACTACAGGCCCATCCTGTAGGAATTCAGCGACATATTTTTGCACCAGGAGGACACAGTGAGGGGCAAGAGAAAAGAAAGGTGCTGGGCCTGCAATGAAAGAGCACATGATGCCTATATGCTCACACACACTAACCTGAGTGTTACGTGATCAACATATGCTTCATGGAATCATTTGGCCAGGCTATTAATATGTTTTTTTTTTCCACAAGCATAACATGTTAGCCCAAACATGGGCATAAGCTTCAGCTTTATGTGAGTTGTTGTGCTATAAGCAGGCTACTGAGCCAAAGCTAATCGCTTAATTAAAGGAATTATGTCAGGTTGGCAATCATCATGATAGTGGAGTCCATGAACATCTGCCTCACTCATCACAGAGCAAAATATTCATAACAGTTGGAAACAGTTGCTGGTTGGATGCTGTTAGCATTAGTGTCAGGCAGAGTGGTGTAATGTGATCCTCATGTGCAAGGCTAATGATTATGAATGAGACTTGTTTTGTTTTGTTTGTTTTTTTTAGCATGTGATTAGGTAAAGAGTCAGTCCATGTGTTGGCTGCTGTGTGATGTTAAGTTATTTATTTAATGCTTATTTTATCATTAATATCCACTGAGGCACACAAATCTAATCTGGCAGCACCAAATAAATGCAATAATCTAGAAAATGTAAAGATTAAAGGGTTTTAAAGGTAGCCAATCCAATCAGTAGTATGACGAGGAACTGCAATTTCTTAATGTAACACATTAAGATGCAATTGTCTTTTATTTAAAAAAAGAAAAGAAAGACACTTCATATTAAGGGAGTTTTATGTGAATAGTTTAAAGAAGAAAATATATCCTGCTTTGAAGATTGTTGATTTAGGATTATTTCAAATACCTGCCAGCTGAATAGCTGCCATTTGATTTTTTTTTTCAGTGGTCTTGACCCTGTTAGTTTTTTTTCATACTGTGCAACTGTGCAGTTTACATAAACACACGTAGATAATATAGTTAAAATAGTTAATAATTATACATATACTTGGGAAAAAAGACATAAAAATGTTTGTAAAAATATTAAGCAGCATTACTGTTTATGTTTTAAATGTTTAGTTTTGTATAATTTTTTTTAAAAATATAAAAAATATTAAACAACATGGCTTTTTTAATTGAATTGAATTGAATATTTTAATTGAATGAATTAATTGTGCTTTGTTAATAAATCAAATTGCTTATAATTACTTTTAATTTGATAGATTTTTATTGTATTATTTACTTATTATTTACATATTTACTTATTTATTTATTTACTTTATAACTAATTATTGTCACATTAAATTGACTGGATAATTAACAGGTAGCAAATATCAGTTATAGAGGGCAGTCAGTTATTTTTGTTCCTCACAGAGTTCCTAAGAGTCCTCAGGAAGTTTTATTTTTTTTCCCCTCTCTCTCTCTCTCTCTCTCTGTCCCTGTAATGCCAAAAAGCTTTTAGGAGTGATTTCCTGTTGGGATTTAGATGTCAGATATCTGCAGGACATCAGTCTCTCATCTTCCTAATGTATATGTGTGTCTGTCCCTTTGTGATCTTTCAGAAGAAGAGCAAGCTGCATTACCACATTGCAGTCATCATAAACTACCTGGGACACTGTATCTCTCTGGGAGCCCTGCTGATCGCCTTCATCCTCTTCATGAGGCTCAGGTGGGTGAGTGCCTCTGCTCTGAGGGGTTTTCAACAGAACTGAACATCTGCATTAGTCACACCGGTGGACTTGCATGAGAGAGATTCATGTATGAACCGCTGCTACTGCGTTGTGAAGTGAGTGGATGAATAAGTAACTGAGGATTCTCAGGAGTGTAAAAGATTTAGGGGGAAATGTATTGCTCAGGAGACCTAATGGAGTCATTGACTAGGTTTCACTTAAAGGTAAAGTGTGTCATTTTTGTGCCACCACCTAAATGGAATTGCAAAAAGAATAACTTGATGTTTCAAACACACTTCTGCCAATGGTTGCAATCATATAGTCCTGCTCCAAACACGCACCATTGGCTCTCAAATGAAACAAAAAATTATTTGGGTTTTAACATGGTTGCAGATTTTTCTCCTTATTCATTAAGAAAATAGTAGAAATAGGGAAAATAGAGCAATAAATTATTGTATACACACACACACACACACACACACACACACATATATATATATATATATATATATATATATATAAAAATACAGAGGTGCACATAAGTGGTACGCAGGTGTGCATGCACGACCAAAATAAAAATTGCACTGTGTAAATAAGTTCAGAGCGCTCATTTGTGTACCGACATGGTTGACAGCTGTTAATGCACAATTGCAATTTTAGATCAACAAACTGTTATACTGTATAAGATTTATTTTCAAACTGAGAGCATAAATCTAGGCTATCCACTGCCATTTTCAAAGCACAATGCAAAACTGTGACATTTAATTCACTGATGCGCGTCAGTTGGCAGCGCTAAACCCGGAAGCGCATATACTTACTTGCCGGCAACCCGCCAAAATAAAAGCCTGCTTAACAGGTAGCAAATATCAGTTATAGAGGGCAGTCAGTTATTTTTGTTCCTCACAGAGTTCCTAAGAGTCCTCAGGAAGTTTTATTTTTTTTCCCCTCTCTCTCTCTCTCTCTCTCTGTCCCTGTAATGCCAAAAAGCTTTTAGGAGTGATTTCCTGTTGGGATTTAGATGTCAGATATCTGCAGGACATCAGTCTCTCATCTTCCTAATGTATATGTGTGTCTGTCCCTTTGTGATCTTTCAGAAGAAGAGCAAGCTGCATTACCACATTGCAGTCATCATAAACTACCTGGGACACTGTATCTCTCTGGGAGCCCTGCTGATCGCCTTCATCCTCTTCATGAGGCTCAGGTGGGTGAGTGCCTCTGCTCTGAGGGGTTTTCAACAGAACTGAACATCTGCATTAGTCACACCGGTGGACTTGCATGAGAGAGATTCATGTATGAACCGCTGCTACTGCGTTGTGAAGTGAGTGGATGAATAAGTAACTGAGGATTCTCAGGAGTGTAAAAGATTTAGGGGGAAATGTATTGCTCAGGAGACCTAATGGAGTCATTGACTAGGTTTCACTTAAAGGTAAAGTGTGTCATTTTTGTGCCACCACCTAAATGGAATTGCAAAAAGAATAACTTGATGTTTCAAACACACTTCTGCCAATGGTTGCAATCATATAGTCCTGCTCCAAACACGCACCATTGGCTCTCAAATGAAACAAAAAATTATTTGGGTTTTAACATGGTTGCAGATTTTTCTCCTTATTCATTAAGAAAATAGTAGAAATAGGGAAAATAGAGCAATAAATTATTGTATACACACACACACACACACACACACACACACATATATATATATATATATATATATATATATATAT